GCCAGTTTATTTTATTATTTAGTTTCTTATCTAATCCTAATTGGCTACTGCAGCTGCTGCAGATCCTCGATGCTTAGATTAAGCGAGCGCAGCTCTAGCGTTAAATCTTCCTCGGCTTCCGTCTTGACAAAGCCGGACAGGCCCGTTGACGACGACGATTTGGCCGCCGATTTGTGGCCCGTTTTGATCAGCGGCGTGATAATTGACATACGCTTCTTGCGATCGAAATTGAAGCAGGTATGATGGCAGGATTCGAGCACAATCTTGTGCACGCCCTCGATCACGTTCGTGACAACGCGCGCATTGCACTTGGTGCTGCCCTGAGAAGGTAGAGAATCGGTTGGGAAATTAATAATATAATCTAGACACATTAGAGGTAGACATGGAGCCAGTCGAACAATTGTTTCGCTCGAGACTCGAACTTGTTCGGCTGTTGAAAGCGAACTCGAACATGTCCCAGTTCGAACTTCGTTTGTATGAGTCTGTCCTTGATCGAATCTGTCCGTTTGAGTTTGATGCAAGATGAATTAATTGAAGCAGGGCTCGAGTACTTACCTTCTTGGAGCATATCCAGTAGGTTTTGAGCCCGCTGCGTCGATTGCGCACATAATTGTAGCCATTGAAGGCCAGGAGTTTGCAGCCGCGCTGACCCCGGACAAACGAGAGCAGCGAATGCTTGATGGCAGCCCGGTTCAGATCCTCCAGCACGTCCAGCGCCGCGCAGCTATCTGTGTAGAGAGTGGGAATAGCAATTAGTTATATATGTCCGCATGGCATGCAATTAATTAGAAGCTAATTGAACTTAACAATTGGTGTAGCCAAACATTTTAAATGAAATCAATTTTATTTTTTGCTAAATTGTTAACGCTAAAAGACTATAAAAAAACGTTGACTAGTATGGCGGATGATTGTGCTGGCTGCACTTGACGATCACGTCGTGATCCTGTATGGTAACCACGCGCGCCTTGCACTTGTGGGCGCCAGCGCGTGCACAGGACCAATAGGTCTTTGCCCCGGTGGCCTTATTCCGCGTGAAGGTGAACTCGCCGATCTTCAGCTTGCGGCTGCCGCGAAAGCCCGTGATGTAAGAGTAATACGACATGGCATCTAGAGAGAGCAAACAAAGAGAGTTAAAACAAATTAGTAAAGTATACAGAAAATCTATAAATATGGATAGATAGAAAGAGGTTTCTTATAAAGAGTTTACAAGGCTGTGTGCACGTCTCTAAGTCGAGTTTTATTTAACACATATATTGAGAGTATGAAGCTGATCCACTAAACATGCTTTACGTATATGTACAATTGGCTTAAGGCTAACATGCGAATCAGGCGCTCGTCTCAGCCTCGTCCTTGCCGGCACGGGCCGCTGCCTCCGCCCGCTGACGCTTGAGCGAACCATATTTGCGCGCCTTCGAGATGACCTCATGGTTGTGCTCGCTGTTCAGTATGGTCAGCGTGTCCAGCTTGGTTTTGAGCCGTGCTCGACAGCGCAACACGGCAAACTGGCTGCAGCGCCAGTAGGTGACATCCTCGCGTGTGATGTGCCTGTTGAAGGTGTGCTGCTTCAGCATGATCTGCTTGGTGCCATATTTGCTGACAATGAAGAAGGGCGAACTGTTGTCGCCGACGGCAACCGCCGCGCTGCGACGCTGCTGACAGTCCTGCGACGGATCCTCGCCCACGTCCACGTCCACGCTGATCTGATAGTCGAACTTGACTGCAATTATAAGAAGAAAAAGGATGTGCGTGTGTGTGAAACGGATTCGGATAATGTCTAGCTAGCAGCTGCTGTGCCTGATCATAAATAAAAGACAAGGCTTCATGTTTCGATTGTTGCTTTTCATTTAAGTTAACTAATCAGTTACAGAAGCTTACACTAAGGCTATTGGCTATAATTCATTCTGGACGCAGTGCATCGCATGTCCATTGTACTTGGTCAGACGCGGCCGGCGGCTCAGCTCGACGTGCACATAGTGCGCCCCGCAATTGGGCGTCTGGCAGTGGTAATATGTGCGATACTGCATGGCCCGGGTTTTCTTATAGCTGCGCCCATCGATCACCAGGAACTCGCCCCGAGCTGTGCGCTGGAACTTGACGGATGCGGCTGCTGCTGCGTGGTATCGGGATGATAAATGCAAATTATGTGTTTGATGGGTGATGAGAAGAAATGCTCAGATGGGATAGATATTAGAAGGAGCCTTAAGTTTAACTAGGCGCACAGTGAAAGCTCGCTAAGGTGGCCCTCAAATAATCAACTAGCATATTTTAATCGCAAGCTTTTTACAAATTGTCATATTATGCTTTCAATTTTTTAAATCTTTAAAAAACTATTTTCGTAAGCATTTTTGTGATTTTTGTATGTACATTTAAGATTTTCGATTTGATATATGGCATGATTTAATTACATTAAAATATAATAAATTAAAAAATAATAATAAAAAAAATAAACTAAAATATATCACACTGTCGGCTATGGTCAGGTTTTTTCCAGTGTATTTTATGAATATTTTTTTGAGCTAAAAATATGATATATTTGATATTTGATTTAATTATTTACATTGAAAAAAATATGTATATATATCATACACTATCAGCTATTTCAAGATTTTTTTCAGTGTATTTTTGAATATTTCTTTGAGCTTTATATATGAGGACATTCAAATCGAGCTTTCACTGTACATTGATGACGCACACAACTAAATAAACTACAAGACGAGAGATTTGTTGTTGTTGTTGTTGTTTTGGCTTTTTAATAGTGCTGCAATAACATTTCCTTGGTCATGAGCTTGGCGGGCAGCGTATTGCCCGTGAACCGAGGCGGATGATTGTGCGGATTCTTGCCGAGCTTGATGCCGCCTTCGAATTTGGTAATGGCACGGGCGGAGCACTTGTTCTCGTTAATGCGCTTGCCATTGCCGTCGGAGCAGATCCAGTTGATGGTCGCCCGAAAGCTGGCCTCCTTCTTGTACATGTAACCGTTGAAGATCAGATTGTAGCCCTGCTTCTGGTTGCGTATAAAGAAATAATCGTATTTGTTTATCCAAACGCTGGTCGGCAGCTCCGCTATAAACTGACCGTTCTGGGCGGTGGCTGCGGTTCCTGCAATTGTATAGGAAAAATGGGTAATATGTGTGGCTCCTGTGCCTGTTGGCTTCCTTAAGAATCACTTAGTTTACAGAAAAAATACACAACATTTCGAGCAGCAAATATTTTATTCAAGGTATACACACATATACATACACATACATACATATATATGCCATATACTAAAGGAGTTTACATTGTATAGCGTAGCATCTATGGGTTTTGTTTAAGTTGCAGCACTTACCATGGCCATTGGTCGAGAAAATTGTTTGTTTAATTCAAATTAACTGCCATTGATGGCAAAAAAGGAACTCAATCTTTTTTGTTCAAGTCTCACAAAACACAAACAACGCAAAAGATACAAAGCGTGCTGCGGCCACTTGGCGTCGTTCTGATAAGATTAGAGCACTTTTTATACACTCAGCACATACAGCACATTTGCACAATGGTATTTCACTTCTTTGGTACATTTTAAACAACAATTATTGTAGCGGGTTTCAATAAATTTATTAACAAGCAAAACCAAGCGTAGTTAAACGCGGCGAAAAATCACTAGAATACGGCGAAATAATAACAAGATGGCTGACTTGTGCTCTTTAGGATATGGCAACGCTGCATCCACACATTATCATAGTTGCCACTCGAAAAAACTAATATGTACCAAAAAACAAAAATAATTTATCATTTCTGCAAATTCTTAAGGTATTTCAAATGCTAAAAAGTTTTCAAATGTCGCCTCACTATAGGTAGACAACCATGTACATTTTCATATAACGAATATATTTAAAATATACAGATGGTTGGCCCGTCGAGTAGTTTGGTACATTTTTACCACATGTGTGGCAACTGTGCCCTCAATTGCTGGCAGGTGGCAACATTTCACCCGCAAGTACAGTGCTTCTTCTTAGCTTGTGATTTACATTTGCAGCGCATTATATTTTATTTTATTCAATTTATTATTTAATAAATGCCCACCAGCTTGGCACAAACCTAAGACTTGTGTTTTATTTAGTTTCCGTTAAGCTGCCTACATATTGAGCCGTGTTTTAACCACTTTCTACCGCACTTCAATTTAACTACAGCTCCAGCCACATCAACATTGCCCGCACCGCAGGTAATTCCACCACGTAAACGCGGCCGACCCAGAACAAAGGTGGACGATGCGCAGCCAAAACTCAAATTGCTCGACAAGCTGAAGGCGGCCACAGAGAACGAGGTCGCCAGCAGGCCAGCCGTGTATGCCTCCACTACCAAGGGTAAGTCCTTTTCCCCGACACTTGTTGCTTCCTCGATGATGTTAATCAAAGATTTGCATGCCCTTGCAGGTGGCGTGAAGCTGGTCTACGAGGGTCATCTGTTTAAGTTTTCGTTCCGCAAAGCTGAATTCTCGGTGTTCCAATGCTGCTTCCGGGAGCACGGCGAGGAGTGCAAAGTGCGCGTGGTGTGCGACCAAAAAAATGTCTTTCCCTTCGATGGAGAACATGTGCATTTCATGCAGGCCAGCGACAAGAGCGTCACCTCTTCGCAATTTATGCCGGGCGAGAGCGCTGTCAGCGTGGAGCCCAAGCCCGAACCAAAAGTCGAGATTGTTATACAAAAGAGCGTAGCGAAAGTGGATGGCGACGATGAGGAAGAGGAGGAGGAGGGCGAAGTATTTGAAATACATGAAATTGAAGAAGCTGACGCTAACGAATCGACGGGCACTGAAACAGCTGCTGATGGTGTGCTCGCCCCGGCTGCTGGAGAAGAGGAGAATTCCAATATAAAACCCACTGGCGAAGAAATTGATCCAAATGATTTTCGCGAGAAGATCAAGCGGCGCCTGCAGAAGGCGCTGCAAAACAAGAAAAAATAACTAAAAGCTGAAAAGTCTGACGGCGCCAGTGTTGCCAAGCCAGCCATTTTCCAGCTAAAATATGGCTATTTACGACAGATTTATGCAATACATTTACCATCTCATCGTTTGGCAACACTGGTCGGCAATGCAGTGCCCACACGCACCCACACATACACACGATTTACATACATATTACTATACACTCTATATACTTAAAAATAATCACGACAACGTTTCAAGGCAATTTGCAAGCTACACTTAATTCTCTTAAACAAATTATTTTGTAATAAACATTGAGGACAATAAAGCCGCGATTCCATATTAAATAGCTAGCACGTAAGCGCCACACTTTACAATCTGTTCAAATCAAACATATATATATTTTTGATCCGCAACATTTTCTAGCTAATCGTCGAATTAATTCAATGTTCTCCATCTCCACTCCTTGCAGTTACCCAGCATGTGCACAACTGCGGTCCGCAGACGTTCCTGATCAGCCGCAAGGGCGGCACCCTGCTGACCATCAACAATTTCGTCTATCGCTCCAATCTCAAGTTCTACGGCAAGAGCAACGACATCTTGTACTGGGAATGTGTACAGAATCGCTCGATGAAATGCCGCAGCCGCCTGAAGACCATCGGCGATGATCTCTATGTAACAAACGGTTTGTCCTCAAATTCATTTAATTGGCAACATTTTGACACGTTCCTGTTTTTTAGATGTGCACAACCACATGGGCGACACGAAGCGCATTGAGGCAGCCAAAGCCTCCGGCATGCTCATACACAAGAAGCTGAGCTCTCTGACCGCCGCGGATCGCATACATGGCTGGAATCGGGCCGACAGCGGCATCGATCAAATGGTTAAGTTTGAAACTGCGTAGGAAAAAAACCAAGAGATCGAAGACTACCAAAATGGAGTACAATTTGTAAAACCTGAGCCCGAGACCCAGTAGGTTATCTGAGGCTTACCAGAAAAAGTCAATTCTTATTGCAAATATTTAAAATATCGTTGAAAGATCTGAGCAGCTAACCTAGTTAAATGAATGCCTTAGAGCCGCCGCAAATGTTAACTACTGTAGTTATATTAATTATAAACATTTATGTATAAATTGAAAAAAGACATATTTTAAGCTTAGACCAGAATTCACAAAATGTTCGGTATAGAAAGTATTTGCACAACATTTTATGCGCTTGCAGTTTATTATAATTTATTTACGTAAAGTTGAAAGAGTTCTTTAAGCCCATAAAATATAGAGTATATATTTTTAGACAATATCTGCAGACGACGAATCCTCTATAAGCTATATATTTGCTCAGTCCGGATCTGTTCGTATGTTTGAGCGTTTCGATCTCAGAGATCTAGTGAACTTTGACTATGCTCCAATCCCCTTCAAAACTCCAATATCTCGTCTAGCTTATATAGAAAGCAGTTGTTTTTGAGTTCTTATTTGTTTCGTAGGACTTTCCAAAAAAAACTTGGTAAAACTTAGATACAACAAGCTGCCAAATTTTGAGAATAATTCCATCAACTTTCGGCATACTATCTCATCTAGTTTGGAGTGTATTTATACTTTGATAATTGTTTTATTCCTGCTTGACAAACTTGTTTGCCAGCTTTTTCTTAAAATATGTTGTCTTTCGATGCACATGCGAGGCGCACGAGAAACGATATTTGATCTCTGAACCCCACGCAAAGGTAAAGACGCGCGCCTTGCAGCCCTTCGAGTGCTGCGAGCAGCGCCACGTTCCGATTTTGCCAACACCGCGATGGGCTATGAACTGATTTTGGCCAATGATCAGCTTGGGCCGATTCCGAGCCGTCAATATAAAGTCAGCGGTGCCATCGAAGGGCTTGCACTTCTGTTTACGGCCACGAATTTTAGCTGCAAGAAAATGAAAGAGTTTTTTTTTTAGAAAGTTAACAAACTATTCTTCAGAGCTTAAACTAAAGTGTTGGCAAGTTCACAAAAGGTTTGTTTAGAATTATTTTAAGACTTTTTTATATGTTTGTAACATGTTTATTTCAATGCTAAAAATTAAGCTTGAGGCTTGTGTAAAATGAAAATTTCTACACTTTCTTTTCGGGCTAATGCGGAACCCATTTCTTTTGTCGACTGCAGATCCGGCTGCTTAGACGAACTTCTGGATCTACCAGATGGGCGAGCTCTTGGAGCTTGATTTCTTGAGCCCAGATCCATGCTCCGACACAACTGTTCTCACTGTCTTCTTCGACTTGGTATCCGGTCCGTGTTTAACTTGTGAAAAAACCAGGAAGGTGCTCACCCTTGATCTGCAACCTCTTTTTATCACAGTCACTGGCCAATCGCCAGCTTGGAGCTCAGATGGGATGGGTGGTCATGTTGAAGACGGCGTCGCCATCGATGCGAGTGGCTTTCTTTGAGTTTTTGACTGAACTGAAAACAAACGGAAAAGGGAAACATGAATGAAACTTAAGTAAAGATTGCAGTTCGCGGCGGAGGAGCTGTCAGTTTTTGTCGGTTCAAACTGCAGGCTAGACAAGAAAGAAGATTAGCTTGATAGCTTATAAAAAATACATAAATAATAGAAATAAACTTGGTAAGGATTGCGTAAACGAAAACTGTTTCAAATGATATTTTTTAGATTTTGGCTTTGTATAAACTTTATTATATTACATTTTTAATATATCGATTTGCTCATGAGTTCTATTGTAGAGTCAAAGTACAAGCAACTGGCGCAAAGTTTAAGTCCAGTCGACTTGGAGATACTCTAACAAAAATTCTAGCACCAGCTTTAGCTCTGCAAAAGACTAGAAATAATTCATTTCCTTCTCCTAAATGGAATATTTTTAATCTGTATATTCTATACAAAAACATAGCTGCATTCAGGAGAAAGAGGAATTCTTATAATTTATTTTTTCTATACGAAAACCTAGCTCTCCTCATTTTCGATTTTTACCATTTCTCACAGTTCCTTTTAACAACATTAAGAGGAAGGCCTTCTGGTCCATACATTTGCATAAAAAACTTACGAAACCAGCTTTGTTTTTTATAATACAAAATTTATAATGTACACATAATTTTCGTTAATTGACAATTGATACAAAATATATACCAAAGACCTGTTGACGAAGTTGCACTTAGGATAGGTACTCTACTGTCTTCCAACGGCCACACCCGGTCGCTCTAGTAATCCTTGCTGATGTACACGGCAGCATGGCCGCCGGGACCTAAGCTCTGTAGCTGAGGCATCGCTGTGCTCCGTTGATGCTGCTGCATCAGTGCCATCATTTGCGGTGCCTGCACGGTGACCGGCATGGACAGCGGCATGGCCAGGGGCATGGGCACCGCCAGGTGGCCCGTGGTCGTCGCATACGCTGTGGGCAGCTGTGCCATGCTCGGCTGCTGCTGCTGCTCAATGGCACTTGAGGTTTGGATTGGAATCGCGGGTTTGCTGTTGCTCAAGCTGGCGTTCGTGCTGACATTGCTTTTGGCCTGACAGTAGAGCTGGCAGAGCGGCAATAGCTCCTTGTGGCGACGCTTGATGTGGCTGAGGAAATTGCCGGTGGATTTGGTAGTGCCCGATATGAGGCCAAAGCAGCTGGTGCAGGTGGCTTGTATGGCGCCGGGCGTCTTCTGGTTGGGTTGTATATTCTTATAGAACTTACCATCGAGAATTTTTGGCAGCGTAAACGGTTTCCGTATGCACATGGAGTCCTCGTCACTGAGGCACGCCACGGTGAAGGCGGCAATAGCAGCATCCGTTTCCGACGGAATCGGCGTAGTGTTCGCCGAGTGCTCCGAACTAAACTCCAGCTTGACGTCAACTGCAAGAGGCGCAAGGATTAGTTAATTAGTTGCGAAATATCTACAAGCTAGGCTTATTTCTGTAGCAGAGAAACGATAACATGAAGACATTCATGTGCTATTCAATTTATTGCAGTGACATCTTATGCATTAAACAAATATGACGGGGAAGAAAATAGTTTATTGTAGCTCCGACAGCTCGTCGAGGATCTCAACGGTAAACTCCGGCGAACTGCATTCATCCGCCTTCACCTCGGGCCCATGGGTGTGCGGCGAGCCGGCAATCCGAAGCGTCACATCGTTCACCTTGGACGTGACCAGGGTAGCGCGACAGCAGTGCTTCACATACCGTGAGCATCGCCAGAATACGTTTTTCAGACTTTGACGATTCACCACATATCGATAGCCATTGTAGATGAGCATGATGCGACCACGTTGCGTGGTCGTATACTGAATGTTTGTGCTGGTGTTCTTGTCCTCGAAGAGCGCCCGGATGGACTGCATGACACCTACAAAGAGCAAAGAATTATATATATATGGATTAGGACGTTACAAAGATAGCGAAATACACATATTGTTTGCAAGTTTTATAGGCTACACATCACAAGGGCGGGGCGGGGGTATTAACAAATTGTTCTACAACATTTTATTTTTCAGTTATCAACACTCGACATACAATGAGGCAAATTTGTTTATATTTTGTATAAAACTACTAACTAACTACGGCCGCCGGCCAGGTTGGCTTTGATGGTGGCCAATTTGTGGTCTATGAACTCCTGGACTGTGGCTTCCTTTAGCTTGTCGCCGCGCCGGGCGAAAACCTGGCATACATGAGCTGCGGCAGAGCATAATTTAGTATAACATATAACAGTTATTATATTGTGTGTCATATACTTATAATTGCCTGGAACAGATCCTTCTCTGGTTGTAGCTCGCCCCGCGCTATGCGTTTCAGCTGCTCCTTGCCAATGACCAGGTCAGTTACACGCGATGTGTATATGGGCGGAATGGGCACATAAACCTTGGCTAAGTCTTCTTTTGAGACAAACACTTTGCTGCCCGCAAATAGCGGTATTCGCGCATCCTTGGTTGCCCTTATGCTTATTTCCGCTTCCTTTTTGCCCTTTCCGGTTGGCGTTTGCTTTGGCGGCACTGCAAATGCACACACAATTATTAAATAGTAATAATATTGGCAATGAATTTAAAAATTATAAATTAAATAAAAAAAAACACATTTAATGCTTGCTGTATTATTTTATTTTACATATATATGTATATAAAGTTTTAAAATGAGATCCTACATTTGCGAAGCGAACGCGGCGAATGCTTTGGGCATTTCTCTTGCTAATAACAAGGCACATTTCACAATCAACACTTGAAATACTCAATACACAAATTCTGCGTTTAAATTTGTAATCACTTTAAACGCCATTTGACAATTGTTAATATCTTGGCAAACTAGAAAATGCACGTCTTTTGAGACAGACACACTAACACACACATAAAAAATGCTAACTCAGTGTTGCTTTGCACATTAAGCGTGTGGCAACGCCAAACATCTGGCAACGCCAGAAGTCGCCGGAGTTGAGAAAACAAAATTTCAGCAAATGCTGTAAGAAATTACTGAATAATTGGTTAAAACAAATAAAATGTGAATAGCGTACAGTAAATACCTTGCTGTGGCCTCTATAATGCAGGCGAGAGTGTAATTGTGGGAAAGAAGCTGTTGCTGATGTGAGCATAATTGATGTATGTACTAATGTACATATATTGTGTTTGTGTTTGTAAAAGAGAATAAAAAAAAAAAAAGTTTGTGTACAAATTATGGCATCAAAGCTGCAGACGTGAAGTAAATCGAAATCCTAAAAGTACACATTTAATATATTTAAAGTGACATAAATCTGTGATTGACATTAACATAGTCTACAATTTGCGCGCAGCTTCTCCAGCCAGCCCTTAATATGTGCCAGATGCCAATGCGTTTAATGTTAATAATTCCCTTAATTATACTTTGCCCCACACCTTAACACACCTAATTCGCGCGCAAATTAATGAAACAACAATGCAACATGTCATCCGCCCGCGCCCTGCATCTGTGTCTGCCAAATGCAGCTTCCAATTTATAATGGCCGACATACATACATAATTATCTGTCTGGCAGTTAAAATGTCTGCTAACCAATTTGCAGAGCATTTTCTTTGCTGTGTCCTGTGTGAACATTTAAAGTGTAATTACACAAAAATTAAATAATATTTCAAACAATAATAAATAGAATTGGGCCTATGTCTAGCTTTGCTTTTGTGTGCTGCCGATTCAGCTGTTTTCTGGCTACTTTTAGCGACTTACATAGATTGTCAGCTAAAAACAGCTAGCGTTTTGTTAATTAATACTGCCAATAATAGGAACTAGCTGTTTATGGCCAATTTGTAGCTAGAAAACTTAATCAGGCAGTTGGCAATATTGTCAAGGGCGACTCAACACGACGTGTTCGTGTTCAAATATTGAAACAACACGACTTAATACAGAATTAAGAGGATTTTTTTTTATAAATGAAGCGTGTGAAAGTGTGTAAAAAGAGAAGTGCGTCTTGTAATTGTAATTATTTAAAATTTATCATATACTCGCTATATTTACACGAAAAATATGTAAAACACGGCAACAACAATATGGACACACGGTAAGACTTTAACGCATTAATAAACATATATAAAAAATAATCTATAAAAGTTTTATAACAACAAATAGTTCTTTATAAAATAAAGCTTTACTTTTAAGATGATTAATATAAGATTCTGAGCTTGTAAGACGAATGCTATATGGAAATAATAAAAAGAATTTACATATATTTCAATTGAATTTAGTTTGTCTAGTCTGAATTTGAATTAATATGAAAGAGTAGAATACTTTATAGTTTAGCAAATCTTCTAATGAAGCCATCAAACCCTTTGGTTTTCCAGATACCCTACTATCCGACTATAAAATACAGTTGCCACCGCTGAAACGAAAATCGGGTAAAAAGGAGAGCTTCGATCATTTGGATGTCTGCTTTACGCGCAGCAATCGCGGCAACAATTTGCTGACCATCAATGGGAAGCCCTTCACCCTGAACCGGCGCATCAAGGATGCCTGCTACTGGGAGTGCGTCAAGCTGCGCTGCAAGTACATCAAGTGCACGGCGCGCGTGGTGACCAAGTCGAATCAGATCTCGGCGCTGCGGGGCCAGCACAATCATCCCTAAAATGAGCGTGTGTCCAAAAAGAAAATACCAAGAATCGAATAAATATGATTTGCGTTTAACTTAAACAAATACAAATATGTAGCTCATGTTCTCTTGCAATACCTTTCACCCATTCAGTGGCAGTCGTAACTAATCTGTTTGTGCTACTTGCAGATGAACTGCGGACGCAGCGCAGCTATCGCCTGGTGGCCAATCGACGCGGCGGCCAGAATCTCGTCTACAACGGGCACATGTACACTGTCGAGCGCAAATATCTGACCACCATCAACTGGGTGTGCACCAAGAACAGCAATGTGAAGATCCGCTGCCCGGCACGCTGCGTCACAACAGCTGGCAGCAGCGGCCGCAACAGCATCAAGCTGAGCCATCGCAAGCACAATCATGCCAGCAATTCGTTCAAAATGCACAAGCCTCGGGCAGTGTTGCCAGCTTTATCCAAAATTAAAAGTAGCAGCAGTTAGCTGTAAATTGTCAACAGGACGGCTGGTAATTGTCATTGAGCTACCAGTAACCTAGTTAGTTTTAAGATTTTAACTGTTTGCGGCGAAAGTTGAATGTTGCCAGATTTAGCTAGAAAATAACTCATTTAACAATACTGAAGGCAAGGCGAAAGGCATTTATTATTGGTTTCTGGCTGGCTGCATTGGCAACACTGTTCCTAATGAACGAAGTTGAATGTTGCCACAATTAGCTAGAAACTAGCTGAATTGGCAACACTGAATGCAAGGCGAAAGTTACTTCTCTTCGGTGTCTGGCTGATTCGCTGCATTGGCAACACTGGCGCCGTGCTGCAGCTAACTAGTCCCTAATAAACATAAGCCTGTACACAACACTATAACTATGTTATATTTTGTTTATGTTCTTACATCATCCAGAGCTTGTCTCTGTTACTAACACGCACTCATTTGCCTCACTAAACCTGTAAAAAATTTGTTTATTTTATGCTCTGTTCGCAGCATCCGCCTCCTCGCCCCGATACCGACGCATCACTTACAGAGAACGCGCCGGCTGCCTGCTCATCGATGGCTTTCGTTTCGTGATCAGCTATCAGCAGCGGAAGCGCTGCTATCTGAAATGTTCCAATTTTCGCAGCCAGTGCCGGGCGCGTGCCATACAGAACAAGGAGACCGGGCAGGTGCAGCTGCGCAATGGAGTTCACAATCATAATCGTGGGCAGAAAATGGCCGCGCACAAAGCTACAAATTGAGCAAGTACACCACGCACACACACACGCACACAAACACACACACACACACATACACATACACACTCCATGTATAATAAACCGTATTGCAAATGAAATCGCCTGCTTTTCACTAATAATTAAAAAATACATAACTCCCATCACTTTGCTGCGCATTAACCCAATCCAGACGTAAGTTCTTTAATTATTTGCCTTCTTCTTTGCTGCTTTTAGCTAATGTGGCGCAATATGTGCGCTCCAATCGCGGCACGGACCTGGTCTACTACGAGGGCAACACCTACACGCCCAACGAGAAGCTGCGCGCGGGCCAAAAGTCGCGCGACTGGAAGTGCTCCATGTACCACAAGGCCAAGTGCCGGGCCCGCCTGGTGACGCGCATCACCAGCCAGGGGGATCTGATCCATGTGACCAGCTACAGGCACACGCATCCGGTCATGTTTATGCTGCAACAGCAGCAGGAGAGCCTGGACGTGGATAAGCTCTGTCTGGCGCGCAATCCGCTGTGCATTGGCATACGCCCGGCTAAACAGGAGCCGGTCAAACTAAGCTAAGGCTCTTGAGTGCAAATAAAACCTAATTTGTGTGCATCGTTAATTTTCGATTTATTTTTGCCAGGCGCTGCTCAAGATCCTGTTCATCACACTAATATATTTTCCCTTTCTACATTTTCCAGCTGCTCTGGGCGACTATCTGCCCGTGGATGCGGTGATCAATGCGCAAGGCCAGTGCGTGCTGGACAAGTGCCCCAAGCTGCGCTTCATCCAGGGCCAACGGAAGTCGCTGCAGCTGGTCTATGACAAATATGCGTACGCCAAGAACAACGAGCACGGCGCCACCACCTACTGGAATTGTCGCATACGACGCACTGGATTGCCGGCGTGCAATGCACGTCTCTCCACGACCCGGCTTCCCAAGGGCAGCTACAAAGTGTGCCTGACACGTCCGCAGCACAATCATCCGCCGTCCAGGCGCATCGCCCGCATGCTAGAGAGCCATAACCCATGCGCACGATAGCCCAGGAACTGGCCAGCAATATAGCCGGGTTTAGACTTTAAGCTGAAAACAAAACAAAATATATGTAAACCCTGAATGGCGAAACGACTTGAAAACGACTCTGATTAATACTGATTAATTAATAAGTCTTAGATCCAATTTTAATCAAGTTAAACTAATTTTAATTTTCGTTTATTTATGCATATATAGAAAGCAGCATTGCTATCTACTCCGCGACGTCGCGCGGCCGCATGCAGCTCATCTATGGCGGGCAGCCGTTCATCTTCGAGAAGACCCTGAAGCTGTCGACGGGCGAGGAGAAGCGCTATTGGCGCTGCAATCAATGGTGGAATCAAAAGTGCCGCTCGCGTGTTTTCACAATCAACGACATTGTCTGCCCGCTGAATCGCTTTCACACGCACGAGGAGATTGTGCGGCGCAAGAAGCGCGTGCGGCGCGTTCCAGTGCCCGATGCCAAGGCTTATGCCACAACAGCAGCCAGGCAGGAGCAGCAGCAGCAGCAGGCACAGGCGCAGCAGGATCAACAGCAACAGCAGCAGCAGCTCCATCATCATCATCATCATCAGCAGCAGCAGCAGCAGCAGCTGGCAAGCGATGCCATGCTGACCACGACCTTGTCGGACGAGACCACAGCCACCATTGATGTGAACGAGCTGGGCATGCATTTAAAATATGAGGAAATTGTCGCCGATGTAACTGGCATTGTGGGCGGGGCACACAGCCATGCCCGAGTGCTGGGCCGCAAGAAGTGAGGGCAGCTGCCGGAGCGGCAGGGTATACGTAGTTCGTAACGTTTCAATTGTCTATAATTAATACATTCACACACATTATTCAAGTAAACGCAACTTTAATAAACTTAACTAAGGCTTCAAACAGCACGCAAGCGATTCAATTTAATCTACACACCCAATTTCCACTTTTGTAGCACGCACTAACCGAAGACCACACACACTCTCTTTTTCTCTCTCTCTTTACTTTGCAGAGCCGATCTTCTACTTCACCAAGGGTCAGAGGAAGTCGATCAAATTGAACTTTGGCGGTCACAGCTATGTCAAGTTCATGGAGAACAGCCGCGGCACCAAGTGGATCTGCGCCACACGCTCAACAACCAAATGCCGCGCACGCGTCCGCACCAAGGACAATGCGCTCGAGGTACTCCACGAAGCGCACAATCATCAAATGTCCAAGCGACAGCGCGAACGTGCCAAGTCGCGACGCACACTCAGTTAATATATTACGAACTTTAATCGGATCGCATCGCATTCTGCTGAAAACATTTTTTTGAAATATCCCAAAAGAATTTGCCTATAAGATAAGATACATTATTGTATATAGCTGGGTCAGGTCTGGCCTTGAGGATGTTACAGATTTTATCAGAAAATCGAATATATCATAGAGTATATATAGTCTTAATCCCTGTAAAGAGTCGCGTTAGCCATGTCCAAAAGACTCTTGGCACTGTTAGATCCTTTATACAGTTGGTATAGGAACTATATATATAGATATCCCAGGCAACAATAGGCCCGGCTTCAGAATCTCATTATTCTAGGACATATGAACAACCAATTTTACAACTGTTAAGCTCTGGACAAGAATTTGGAAATAAAATATAGATATATATTTCTCGACACTTTAACTCTGATAAAAAATATTGGAACACTTTCCTATCGGAAAGTACACCTTTATATTTGACCTGTATATGGGCTAGTGCAGCTCCTCGAAGCAGGGCTCGCACATCCAGTTGCTGCCGGGACAGGTGTCACAGCAGGTGGTGAGACGCTCCAGATTGGTTTTGCCCTTCTTCAGGCAGGTCACGCACTTGCCCTTCATACGCGGCACGCCGACAAACACAAAATTGTGCTGATTGCTCGAGGTGCGCAATATGTTCTCCGGATTGCTCAGATTTAGCCGGGCGCGCACGGGCTCCATTTGGGAGACAGCGACAACTGCGTCCACATTGAGGTTGAGTGTTGCGGGCGTAAATGTGCGCCGCTTGACAACTGCATCCGTCGCGGACAACTGTTTGATGCTTGTCCTGGGCACTGGCACACGCTGCGGATCGCGACGCAAGATCAGGGGGCTGCTCATGTTCGAGTTGCGTGTTCTCTGGCTGTAGGTGTAAGCTGGAAGAGAGCAGAGATTAATGTAGAATAATATTGGAAATACATTTGATGGGATATAGTTAATCTAAGCTTTAAACATTGCTAGATCTTATCTTCGTTAGGGTTCGAACCAGCAAACTTCTCGTTCAGTTTTCACTTAGAAGGAGAGCTGCACATAAACGATATAATATTTCAATTAAAACAAGGCTTATCTAGAGAAAGGCGAGAGGCGGTTTCTTTTTTTTGCGTTTAACCAAGCTGAATCTTTATTTAATGCGAATATGCTGAGTGAGCGCAGCCTTCGATAAGCTTTTCCAGCTGACTAAGACGAAAGTCCGCCATGTTCTCTCTCCTTCACAATGTAATCCTGATGCTTGTGGAGCATATTGCAGCTGCAAGAGAAGTAAAAAATGTTTTAGTCTTTAGCAGCAGGAAAAGCCCTAAAATCAATTACAATCAATCGCAAACTGATGTCTCAATCGCTGAGCTATAAATTCTGGGCACGAATGTTTTCATCCTCGGGGGCGCCGCATGATTGTGCCATCCACGTTGAGCGACAATTGCCTTTCGCCTGGTGGTCAGCGCCGCGCTGCAGCCAAGCTTCTTGTGCTGGGTGCAACGCCAGAAGGCGACGCAACGCGGCACGTTGCGTGAATGGCAGCTGTAGGAGAAGCCCAGATGCACCAGCTGGCCGCGATAGTTGTAGCTGAGCAAAGCTGCAAAGATGGATAAAGTTATGAGTATTTTGTTGAACATATATCTTATATAGGTACTTACAACTGATCGAGAGCAGATACAGATATATTTGACTACAACTTGTTAGCTTAGTTTTGGCCTTTATTCGGACTTATTTACTTAGTAACTAAATTGCACTGTCAACATGGAAACTAGAGCCCTGCATCGGCTGATTCGAGTCTGGTAGGAAAAAAAAAAAAAAATAACCGCTGCAGCTGCTCCAATATAAACTAAATGTGCCACCTTCTAGTCGTGTATGAGCATCAAGGAGGCGTGCACCAGTTCGTGCTCGGTTAGCTGCAGCGTGGCCGCATCAGTTGCCAGCAGATGATGCGACTGGGGTTGCTCCTGCTGCTGTTCCGTTTGCAGCAACAGCTGCTGCTGCTGCTCCTCCTCCTCCGCCTCTTCCTCCTTGGGCTGCTGCGGCTGGTAGTGGCTAATGTGGTGCAGACGCTTGAGCTTCTTGTGCGCCGTGCTCACACCGGCCAGACGATTGCGCTGTATGATCTTCTCGATCTTTTCGGTGTGCGGCGCATGATTGTGCAGGCCGCCCGTTATGCTCTTCAGCTTGCAGTTTTCGAGCACGCAACGGGAACGGCAGCGCTGCTCGTGCACCTTCTTCGAGTAGTTGTGACAGCGCCAATATTCCTTGTTGTTCTTCCGGCTGTGACAGTTGTACATGTAGCCATTGAGCACCAGGCAGGGCGTCGACCAGGGGCTCTCGATGAACAGCAGCTGACTGTTGGCTGTGAACGAGAAATGCAGCCGAATTAGTGAGGAATTAGTTTTCGAGTTCTTTTTACAGGGTATGTGGCTTATATCATTAACAGTAATTGTAACTAGTTGTCTGCTTGTTTTTGGCTTTATTGAATAGGGTTAGACATGGGTACAAGTACGTGGTAAAATGTTTGGATTTCTTTGTAACTTTCGTTTAGATAGCCTCTAATGCAGCTTAAGCTTGTGCGACAGGCGCTGTATGGGCTTCAGCTCGACCACACGCTCCATGAGATCCTCCTCGTCGTCGGCGGCATCGACCAGTGCCTGCATCTCAATTTCCGTTGCCTCCGAGGCGGGCACATACAGCTTGCACTCCTTGCCATCCTTGGCGGTCATGATGCTGATGTTGCTGCTGCTCAGGTATTGCGAGATCTTTGGATTCGATGTGCATATCTCGATATACTCATCCAGCTCCTCCTCCACATTGTACAGCTGCCGTTGTCCAATCCGGCTCGCATGCGACTCATGATTATGCTGGCGACGGGCGTCAAGGAACTCGCCGTTCTTCGTTATGACCACCGCCTTGCAGCGCAGCTTGAGCACGTCCGCGCAACGCCATGTTGTCTGGCCATTCGCTTGGGTCAGCTTCTTGTTGTAGATGTAATCCCTGTAGACAAGCTGTGCGTTCTTCTTCTGGCTGCGTATAAATTGGATTTTGCCAGCTGCATCAGCGAGCGCGTAATATACAACAGAGGGACAGACAAGAAGTGAGTTTCGTGAGAATCGTATGATTAAAATGTCGTGCCTTAGTTTTATATACGGGCAATATGCAAAACAGTTACAATTTAGTCTTAGACGCTACGTGAAATAAAACAACAGACATTAAACATTGGCTTTAAGCATTTTATTAGCACAAATCACCAAGGCGGAATCCACTTACATATGTGCACACAAATGCTGTACACATATATAAAGATGCTACTTGTAAAAAAAAAGCCACAGAAGAGTCCGCAATGGAACCCAACTTACATCAGTCCCAAAAAAAAAAAAAAACTGTCAAACAATTTAATTTTGTCCAATGCACAATAGACGCACAAATTCACTGGGGCATGCACGGAAAATGGCCTGCGAATTAAGCCAAGGGATCATTCACGACACAAGTCACACCACAATTCACTGTTTATTCACAATCAATAATAAAACACCAATTAATTTGTACTTATATATGAAAAAAGAATAAATTAACGAACCAACAAAAAATATGTATTTAGCTTGGATTGGCAAAGCATCTTTGACGGCGTTGCCACCTTTTGTAAACACAGCGTTGCATTCGCGAGCTATAAACAAAACCAGTCTGGCAGCACTACACACAAATTAAAACCAATTGCAAATATTTTCCACTCTTTTTAATGTACATTTAAAGATAAATACAAATCTAGATACATTTTTAGATAATTAAAATGTGAAAAATACGCACCTGTTGGCTTTCTCGAAGAATCAACGCACCCTCTACTACTCACATCATGCTAACTTAGTGGCTACATTTCTATTGCGATATACGTATTTCTTTTACTTGGTTTACACCTACACGCATTCATAACGCATTATTCGACAGCCCAAATAATTGAAATTGCGGACAAAGGCACATTCGACATAAGCACATTTCCTCGTTGCATTAACAGACCACTACAAAACCAATTCACGTTTGAAATTAAAGACTAGTGGCAACGCAAACATCTGCTTGCGCGCGGAAATTCGACTCGGTGGCAACACTGCACACATCAATTGCAATTTCTATCAGCAATCTAATCGGAAATCAATGAATTTCAAGCAAACCCAGTTGCTAACAAAATACTTCATATCTTCGCACCAAACTCATGCATTGAAAATCCATCCGCAATATAAGACTAATAACTGTACACACCCTAAATCCCAAGACTCGGCAATTAATGCCGTTGCTCGAACCAATGGCAGCAAGCTTTTATGTTGCTCCAAAGGGGTTCGTAACAACATCTTTACGAATAAAAACAACCACCGACGGCGTCGCAGTGCCAGTTTTCACCAGGTGGCAAGGCTGCACCAAATTGGTAAACAAACGCCAGCGCGATTTCCAGTGCTTCCAGGCTTACTCCTAGGCTGGGAACGTTAAGGAAAATGCAAAATACTACAAATCTAACAGAAGAGATTACCTGCATTAACAGAGTACCTTTCGTATTAACAGCACCACCAAACGAGTCCAGTTGCAGTAGCTCCAGTTCCAATGGCCGCCAATCCTGCGATGTCCACGCCAGCCAGGAATCTCCAGGTGTTCTCCCCCCATCAGATTTAAATGCATATGAAACACTCTACTTACCCCACGCGTTAAGAATAAATAAACGAATTGAAACGCGGAAGCAGCTGCCTCGGCAAATCGAAATTCACATTCGGTCTGCCGCTCGGCCAAATGCTCTTTTAAGCGAAAATAGAGCATTGGCTTTTTTTTTTATCTTATCTATCTAAATGGTTGATAAAGCAGCTCTTAAATGTGCACGGGCAACAAAGGTAATATGAAGCGATGACATCACGGCGTATGATTAAAGCAGATTTAAGCGCTCTTTACAACCGTCGAGGGCCCGGTTCGAATTGCGAGCTGCACACGCCGGGGTTGAAAAATGGAAGCCAACCAAAATGGGCGAGAATTTAAGAGATAGTTCCGGAAATATTGAACCGAGCACAACTCGCAAATCGACTGCCTTCTCTCTATGTACTAGGGCTAACTCTATAGGCATTTAGCCGATCCGTGGAGCCCGGGTCGTAGCCGAGTCTCGCTGGGATCGGCCATAGTCAAATTTCAACCAACCTTGAGCCTCTGTGTTGCTTTGCTCCGCGCCGGTGTCGACAAACGAGGAATCGCTGTAGCTTTGCGATTGCTGCTTGACCACGGCCTTTGATGTGGTTGCCGCCGCTTGGACGCTGGTGGTGCTTGTGTTGCCCGGGGCCTGGGCGCCGGTGGCGTCTTCATTTTCGGTAAAATAGCTATCATCGTAGCGCATATCGCCGTAGGTATCGTCCTCTACATAGGCCGTATCGCCATCGCCGGCAACTTCGGCATGCTCTTCACTATAGTCCGGTTCCGATTTAGTGGGCAATTCCATGGGGAGATCAATATATTCAGCTTCCTCCTGTGCAACCGCCTGTTGTTGCTGCTGCTGCTGCTGTTGTTGTCGCACCTTTGCCTCGTTGGCGGCCACCACGGTTGTCTGTACGGTTATCTGCTGCGGCGGCGCCAGCTGTGTCGTTGTTGTGCCCGCAGCAGCAACAGTTTCCGTTGCCGAGTCCAGTGGATCAATTACGTTGGCGGTGCTCGTCTTCGAGCGCTTGACAGCACCGCTGCCAACCAGGCTGCTGCGCTGTGCCGAGCGCTTGTTTGTCGACACCAGCGTTGCGGTTGTTGTCGTCGCCGTCTGCAGTTGCTGTGTTTGTATGTGCTGCTGCTGTTGCTGCTGTGTCTGTTGTTGTTGTTGTACGATGGTGGCTTGTGGTGCGGCTGTTGTCTGGATGACAATCTGTGTGGTTCCCTTCTCATCGCCCAACACATCGTCAACGGTCTCGATTTTGTATCGCGCAGAGGCGCGAGGCTGTTGACGTTGTACACGCTGGGCGGGGACTTGTTGTTGTTGCTGTTGTTGTACATGAGGTGCGGCTGGTGGGGGCGTGGGCTCCTGTGGCGGCTGCGGCGCAGGATCATTCTGTAATTTATTTTAATTAATTACTTATTTGTTTGAGTCAGCTAATTAAGATATGTTCATGCTTCATTTTGCAATATTGTCAACCAAAAATATTTTAAAATTAATTTATGTATTGGCATCTCAGCCCTGGTTATAGCAAATTTATGCTCAGGCAGGTAATTATGTATACATAGATATTTGTTAAATGACAGTTGGCTGCTTTAGAGTGCCGTAGATTAAATACCCTTTCAGACTTGTGGCAGAATAGAAGCTGGAGTTATTATATGATTTCCGACAGTTCGAGTTTGTTTTGAATACCCTATAAAAGTAATCTACACAAATACTGATTCACAACAAACGGACATGGGTAAAAACAAAAAAACATCCTGGAATTTTTTTCTGATCAAAAATATTCATATTACTTGTGTATTCAAATGTCTTCTATTCGGTGTCACATACACAATTTCAATATAACAATGCCCTCTGTAAGGGTATAAAAACAACCACCAAAGCGCGCGCACTGCTGTTGCCATAAAAGTGGCAAAGAGAACGGAACAGCTACACTCAACAACAGCGCACACTCGTGCTAGCTCTATCGGACGCACACGTTTTGTGCGCAGCGTGCAATTCGAGTAATTTCTCTGTTGCTTGGGTACAGTCAAACCAGCTCTTATACAGACAAATCTGTGGTGCGTGCACGTGTGTGTGTGTGTACGTGAGCTTTGTATGTATTGCGCGCGCGAAAGGCGCTTGGTGTATTCTCTTCTCGGTTTGACAAAGTTACATGTATGTATGTATGTACATATGTTTGTATTTTGTACTTACGTCTGTCAGCCCCTTTATTTGCAGCGACTCCGCTGTGCTTATGAAGGCCGGCAGTGCGTCCTGCTTAACGTTAACCTCGCCGCAATACATAAACTGAATCAGGTCCTTCAAAGCCGAATGGCTAACATTGTTTAAAAACACTGTAAAGTAAAACAATTGTATATGAATCTTTGTTCGATTTGCAAGTTTTTCTTCTTCTTCTTCTTGTTTTGCACTACTTACCGATGGCGTGGGTATTCGATGGCATTTGGGTAAACATTTTGCGGAAAAAGGGCGAGCAGACAGACAACACCAAACGGTGCGCCTTCACGATTTGCCCCTCCGCGGCCAGCGATACGTCCACCAGGTCTCCACGGCATAGCGATTCGTGGAAGCCAGCGGACAGATTTGTGTTGAAATTATTCCAGCACAAACTGAATTGCTCGTCGTCCGCCATCTTGGACGAGCGTAGAAATCAATAGAATTTTCTGTATCTGCTGTGTATGTGTGTGCTGTGGCGGAAAAATCGACAATTGCAAATAAATAAATTTGATTTTCTCCAATTATATTTACAGGTAAACCTAATGTGAGCACTGCCATTTGTTTACAAATGTCAAGGCACATCAAAAATGCAGACGCATACAAAAATTAGAAGCAAAAAAAAAACTGGGAAATTTTTTCACGCGTGCCGAGTGGCTGCTTAAACTATGCACCTTAATACGCTTTAATTGCCGAGTTTAAAACACCTAGTTAAAACAAAAACTGTTTGAAAATGCGCACAACTTACCTCTTTGAATTAAATTTCTATAATGAGATACTTATTTGCTGCACAAATTTAAAATAATTACTTTTCCTGCGCTGATGACGCGCAGTTGCGTCCAACTTTTTCAACGAGTACAACGAAATAAATGTATACTAGCTAGGGATGAGCCAGACTTTTATACTGGGCAGGTATGCTGATATGTAATCGATGTATCGATGTGAGTATCTGTAACGATATATATATAACGATATATCGCATACGATGAACCTGAGTGTGTTGGCAAACGTCCGATTCAAATTCAAAAATTACGTTCAACTGTCAAAAAAACAGTTGAAATTCGAAATTAAATTGTATTGATTTGAACAATTTTAAATTGGTTTTATTTCCAAATGGAGAATGTACATATATAAGGATTTTAATCGATTGCCAAAATCACGGCTAACTGAGTTTTGTTCACTTTTTATTCTTCTAGTTAGAAAATATTGACCTCATCTTAGCTAGGCTAGGCTAGGCTAGGTAACTAAGTTTTAGTTAGAAGAATAGAAGGATTGAAGAACAATTGAAGTTACGGGGTAGTTTTTTGTTTTTGCCGATCGTCGAAGTAGATATTTTTCAAAGTTATTTCAATAACGTAATGAAGCCTCTCCACACCTTTGTTTATTTTAATATTTATATTTTTATTTATATCGTCGCACAGTGCACGATTTGTTTACTGAGGAAAACATGAGGGTGCCGTCAAGTGTGCGAAAATCTGCACTTGAGCCCCACTTGAAATCGGATCAGCGATTAAAAAGTGCCAATTAACAGGGTATATTCTATGGTATATATGGCAATTGGGTAGAAAAAAAAAAAAAAACAACAACTTAAGGACTTTGTAGTAATAAATACGCATACTTAAGCTCAAGAAGCGAAATTAAATCTGCATGAAGAGGCTGCGAACAAACAAAAGCAACAACGACAACAGGCAAGATAAATGCACACGCACACACGCACACACACACACACACACACACACACAGACGAACGGAGGCAGTCAGCTGCCTTGCCTGTGCTGCGCTGTGATTGGCTGCTGGGCCGCCATTTTCTTAAGCGAGCAGCATAGTCGCATGCAGCTACGCTTAAGTGTGAGTGAGTGCGTGTGTGTGTGTGTGTGTGTGTGTGTGCGGGTGTTTGGCCAGCGCCTGAAAAGATTCAATTTTCATTCAGTACGAAAAACGCGCTGACAAATTGAGGACACGCTCGAGTGCGCAGCGGAACGGCGCATCGTTTAACTTTTCACACAAAATATCCAATACGATTGCACAAGGGGTGCGCTACATACACAACCACCCACCCCCAAAACACCCCCACCCCCGCCCAGCCATAATCGTGTTGTCGCCGTCAAGTGTCGTACGGGGAGTCAAGTGCATTTTGGCAAATTGTTGTATTTATTTTAATTTAAAGTGCCTCTCGAGCGCACAAGTGATTTGAATTGTGGCCAAGCCAAACAACAACAAACACAAATAAATAATACAAAAAAAACACACGCACACACACACAAATTATACTAAAAGAGATGCTGCAACATCATCAACATCAGGCCCAATCCGCGGGCTACTATGACTACAACCAAACGCCGAGTCCCGGCAGCCTGACCAATGCGGATGCCCTCAACACAACCCCCTTCTCGGTCAAGGATATACTCAATATGGTCAATCAAACGGAGGCATACGACGGCGCCTACGGGCATCTCGAGAGGTAAGAGACTCTACCAGAGCCTGCCAAGAAAAACTAGAGCAAGTTTTTCTTACAGATTTTCTATTCAAATATATTATATATATTATAATATATTCAATTGTGGTTGACTCCTTTCTCCTTTCGCAAAATTTCTCTTTCTTCTGATTATAAGAAGTTTTAGAAAAGTAATTCAAATTTGTGATAATAAGCTTGAATGAATCATAATTCATTATCCTAATGAATTATGGGACAAAAATGGCCCATTCCTTTAGGAACTGAGTCCTTTAACTTCTAACTCTTCCCACAAAATCTACTGACTAAAAATATGATTTTTCCAAATGTTCAAAACATTTTATTTAAGATTGTGCTTAAGCGAGGTTTCGGGGTTTTCTTCTTCTGCTTCTGACAAAAGAAAGGTTTAGGTTTAGTTTTTCTGGTCAATCGTTTCGGGCAAAAGCAAAAGCTTTTCTTAGCTATTTCCTTTAAGTCTCTTGCAGTTTTTTAGTTTTTGGCTAAATAGAAAACTCAAGTCCATAATTTGTATAAACATTTGTTTTGAGCAAAACTACCTGTCTGGAGCAACCTTTCTGGGCTCAAATCTTCGTCTTGGACAGCAATTTTGTGTGTGTGTCTTATTTTATTTATTTTTAATAAGGCTCCATAGGAAATTAATTTCTACCAATTTTCCACGAAATAATAATATTATGTTAACCTTTACCGAGGACTGGGAGAGCGAGTGAGCAGGGAGAGAGGTAGACTATAGCTAAGCAGAAGAAGAAATCCTATAAAAACACATGAACAGCATGAATTGCAAATAGGACGAAAGGACAAATCATCGTTATTTATACAAGAGGCAGGAGACAAGGACAAACACAAGATGCAGACGCAGACGCAGGCGCAGGCAGACAAAGTGTTAACAATAAGAAAAACAAAGTCGGAGACGGAGGCAGAGACGGAGTCAGGCAGGCAGTCCGGCGGTCCGGCGGGCGGTCAGTCCGGCGGGCGGTCGGCCGGACGGTCGGGACTTGCGTCCTGCGGCTGAGCTTGTGCCTGGCCAACATATGTGATTCGCATGTGTATCCCTGCCCTGCCCTTCCGTTTCCCTTCCGCTACGGACATGCGCCTGTGGCGTCCTCTTAATGCTGATGAGGCATGAAATGATGTCACCAATTGTCGTCCAGATTTTTCCCACCATGATGCAACATGTGCTGGCCAACTAATCGAACGACTTTCTGTCCTTCCTCTCTTCACTTTTCCTCTCTTGCAGCGCCGCGACCGCCTCGGCGCTCTATGGCGCCGCCGACTACCAACAGCAGCCGCTCGAACAGCAGCAGCAGCAGCAGCAGCAGCTCGCTCAGCACCAGCTTCAGCTCCAGCAGCAGCAGCAGCAGCAGCAACAGCAGCAGCAGCATGTCGAGGAGGATGCCTTGGCCGGATCCTCGCTGTCGCCGCTGCTGCCGCCGCCGCCACATGGTCATCCTCAGCTGTATGCGAGCTATCACCAGGATTACGGCATGCCCACGCACATGCTGCAGCACGCCCACACCCATCCCCATGCCCACCCGCATCCACATCAGAGCTACCAGCCGGCGTACAATGTTAGCGCCTCTCAGTTCTATGCCACGCCCACAGCTGGTGGATATCAGGGAGGCTACAACTACAACTACAACACGACGCCGGATGTCTATGCCAGCTCCAGCGTGCCGTCGCTGCCCGCGAGCATTAAGAGCGAATATATACCCACGCCGTATGTGACGCCGTCGCCGACACTCGATCTGAACAGCTCCACGGAGCATGTGGAGGCACATGCTCCCGCCCACGCCAAGCTGGCCAATGGTCATGGGAATGGCAATGGCATCGCGCAGCGGCTGCTCGAGCCGAGGGGCATCAATGGACAGGCGACGACGGAGTGCGCCAAGCGAAGTAAGTAAATACCCTGTAATCACATTGATTACGCATAAGTGTAGGGTATTAGGAAGAGGAGGAAGCTGACAGTTGAGTAGAACCAGCGCCTATTCATCTGTCAGAGGTAGATATGGGAATGAGAGCGAGAGAATTCGAATTTATGCGCCTTGAATTCATTTAAATTTATCGATAGCTTCCCTTCAATTACCAGAAATCGATAAATATTTGATGAGAATTCAAGGTTTTTTGTTAGCCTATAAATAGCTCAAACTTTTTAATATATCGTTAACATGATACCCAATATTTTCTGCTCAAGCTAACTTCAGTTTATCGATAGCCCGATAACTAAAATCGATAGATTTTAGTGATCAGTCGAGGTTTCAGTTCTTTTCCATACAGCTCAAACTTTTTTAATTCCCATTATCGATAATTCCCATATTTACCAGAAATCGATATATCGATAACTCGATTCTATATAGAGACAGTTTACTTTAATTTAGCGATAATTCGGTATCCAGAGTCGATCAATATTGATGATCTGTGTGCTCTAAGTCGATCAATATTGAAGTTACGCGCAGATTTTATATTTGTTTCTATACCGATAACGTTTATTTTACTATATCGATAACTTCAGCATTTCGCAGCTCAAGCTTATTTTAATAGATCGATAAACCGATTCCCAAAATCAAATTCTCGATACGCCTAGGTTAGCTGTTCGTCTCTATTCACGCCAAATCGATCAGTTATGATGCTCGATAAATTGGTCTAGCTCGCCTCTAAACAGCCGCTGTTTACTTCAATTTATCGATAACTGTCTTGTTTATACGATATCGATCAATGTGAATGGTCAGCATGCGGTTTGCTTTTGAGTGTATTTCGGTGTTTCGATTCTATTTAGGAAAGTAAGAGGAGGAAATATATCATGCAATATAATTTATAGGGTATGTGTGACATAGGGTAACTCGCAGTCGGACACACTCTTAGTTGCTGTCTTAACACTTTCTTTCTTACCTTTAACCCTTGCAGAGGACAGCCAGGTGACCTCCTCCCGCTCCGAGCTGCGCAAGAACAGCAGCAGCAACAACAACAACAACAACAACAACAATAATAATAATAATAATAATAATAATAGTAATAATAATAATAATGCTTGTGGAAAGCCGCGCATGAAACGTAAGCCCCGTGTCCTGTTCTCCCAGGCGCAGGTGCTCGAGCTGGAATGCCGCTTCCGGCTGAAGAAGTATCTAACGGGCGCGGAGCGTGAAATCATCGCACAGAAGCTGAATCTGTCGGCGACACAGGTGAAGATCTGGTTCCAGAATCGTCGCTACAAATCGAAGCGTGGCGACATCGACGGCGACGCCTTCACCAAGCACCTCAAGCTGAAGCCCCAGTCGCCCACGTCCGCGTCCACATCCGCATCCACATCCGCGCTGCCCCCTCCGCCACCGCTGCCCAATCACATGATGTGGCCGCCCAGCTCCACGCAGCAGCAGCAGGCACATCATCTCCAGCTTCAGTTGCAATAGCCCGGGCAATTATTAACAATTTCTAACTTATTTCAATTTATGTCGATCAAATGTTTTCTTAGCCAATGCAAATGCCTCATAACTCTGGTACCTTGTTGTATATAGTATATACTACTTATTTTGGACAATAAATAAAGTTTAAGCCAAACGAAATTTAACGTGTGCTTAATTGCGCAGAGCACCTGCAAACACCTGGGCTTTGTGGGGGTATCAGTAGGGGATATTTCCACAAAATCATTTTTAGGCAATGCAAAAGCCTCTTGAGTATAGTATTTCACCATATCTATATTATTTTTAAAACAAAATAGTTTTATATGTGATCAATTGGCAGGTGTTCTAAGGTGATTGCGGGGGGGAACTGTAGAGGATCAGGGGAATGGGAAGCATGGAATTTCTTAAAAACCATTTGGATATTTTCTTATAATCATAAAAGAATTAAATAAATAATTTAATATAAATTAAAACCAACTTTTGGACTGATAAAGAATTGAATTTTCTTAAAGTAAAATAAGAATGAAAATCTTGTTTCGGCACACCGAAGTTAAAATACCCTAGAAAACATTAGCTTACAGGCTTTGCGGATATGTGAAAATAGTAAAGTTGATAAATGCTGAGTATGGTAAAAATATCTTTAAAAATATAATACAAATCAATTTCCAAAAATGTTAATTTGCCATGCCGCATAAATTTAGAAGAACAAGTTTGATTTGTTTCCCTCGTAAATGGACTCGGCAAGTCAAAAATTGTCAAAAATTGTCAAAAATTGATATCCTCAGAATATTTGTTAGTTTTGCGTTTTCTACCAATTTATACACTCAGAAAAGTTTATACAAAAAGAAAAGTTGACTTTTAAACTGAGTAAGGTAAAAAAAGGTACATGATGTATTTTAACTGGAGGATAAACCAGGAAGAGAGTGTTTATTTAAAGTTTATTGCAATTTTTAGGTTTAAATTTCAATTTTGAATTTAATAAAATTTAAAATTCAAATTTGAAAGGATCAATTAGAGAGGATCAATTGGTATTTGTGCTGGGCTCTATTTCATTTATGGAGGACTTCGATATTTCATGCGCTGCATGGCCTTTCACTTTTCGATTTGTCGACTTTATGTGCATATATGTATATATTTTTGTATTTGTGTATATTTTGAGCATCGGAGTACTCGGTTAGTCAGGCACGGATCCATTAGGCACCGCATCTGCGTATAATTGTTGTCGATCGGCGCATAAATCAATTTTATCAAAACGAAACGATCAGTTTTATGAATAAATATGAGGAAAACACCAAGAATATTTCCGTTTTAATTCAATACGAATACGAAAACGAAAATGTTTTTCCTTTTGCTATTCGCAGGCAAGCGAAGGGTTGAGGCAGGAGGATCGAGAGCGGTGGGATTGGGGACGGGGAGAGTAAGAGGGAGAGAGAGAGAGGGGGGCTGAGGCATTGGCGGCATCACAGACATTACAAAGGTTGCTTTTATGAAACGTTTAAGTGGCAATGCAATGCAACTGTAAAATGTTTTCCAACAGCCCAAAGATACAGATACAAATGCGCACAGATACAGATACATATGCAGATACAGATACAAATGCAGCCACAACTCGAACTCGACATTTATGACAGGCAGGGCTAATATTTCATGGCGTGTGGGGGCCAAAGTTGCCACTGCCCCTTCACTCTTCCCCTCCCTCTGCCCCTGCCCGGTGGTGCAGTGGTTGCCCCGCTGGAGTGGCATATCAATTACTGCACAAACACATGCCACAGAGGCCGCAACCGGAACGGGAACGGGAACGGGAACGGAGCAAGTGCAGCTGATCACACTTTTTATTCTGTCTTCTTTTCGTATTTTGGTTTTTGACGTGCAGCATTTTTGACAGCCTGAACTTTTGGCTCGGATTGGGGTTGCCCTGTCCTGGGTTAAATGTCAATCAGAGGCCATCAGGCGCGAGCTTAGATATTTAATTTATAACAGGCTGCTACTGAGCAATTGCGCGATGGGGGAATAGGATAGTTTCACGCTTTCAATATGAAGAGAAATATTAAGTAATTATGATATTAACATAATTATTTCTAACGTTCTAACGCTCAACCCGCTCCATATATTTACACATATTTAGATGCCATATTTATGCTCCGAACATATTTCCTATACTGCGGGCCAGCTCGGCCCTGGACTTGGGACATTTCTCAGGCGAGCGCTGCCGACTAAAGCACTCAAAAATTGTCAAGCCGAACCTTTTAGCCCAAAAATGAACACATGGAAAGAAGGCGACGGCAAAAGAGATCCCAGTCTTAGAGAGACAGAAAGAGCGTTCTTCGAGGCGTTCCACGCACAGTGGCAAACAAAACGCCCCAAAGGACATGCTGCTGCAGCCCATGCCTGTCAAGTGGCTTTAAATGTTGCCTAATGGACCACACTGACCAGCGGGAAAAAAAAAGGGAATACGTTTTAGCAAAATGGATCGAGCCAGAAATAACGCTGAATACATTTGGGTTTCGTCTTACAATGTCGGCGGCAATGTTGCGGCGACGTGTGCTGCGCTGTCTGGAGTCTAGACCGAGGCCGGGAAAATTGTCAAGTGGAAAATTTGTCATTTTCCCATATATCACAATTGAGGATTGCGTCGAGGCTGCACAGCGATAAGCGACTCGGCTTGTAGCGCCGTTTAATTCATGTTGCGTCAAAGGATCAAAGACGCCTCAAGCCGCGCTCCCAGCTGTGGCCCCCCTCCAATCCTTGCTCCCTGCTCCCTGCTCCTGCGCTGCTTTCACCGCTTTCATTTGCATTTCCTCAATGAAAAAGGCGACGCGAGAAGCCGCCAAAGTGAGAGTTAGGTAAGCAAATTAAGATTTATTAACAACAATAAATAAACAATATGAAATTAAACCACAAACTAAAAATACACTTTACGAAAAAAACAGTTTCCAAATTTTGGTGCAAGTCTTGTTTATTTTCGCTGAGTGTATGCGGCTTAGACTTCCGCGCTTTTCCTTCTTTCACCCTTTGCCGCCCGCATTCGCATTGCGTAATTTCTCATTTCCAATAGATTTTCCGCCGTTTTCCGCCTTTTGCTGTCATTGCGCGTCTTTGTCTTTAATCTTCATTCCCAGCCGGAGCTGTCAAGTGGATTGCTGTGCCTAGCCAAGCCCCGCCCCCAACCCCAACAACTGAAGACTTTGACATTTTATCAAAAAATACAAAAGTAAAGAGCTGTATAAGAAGAAGAAGCAAAGGCACCCATTGAGTTTTCCGTGCTGTTTGTTGTTGTTTCATTTCCATTTGATGTGGCCATAAAAATTGCGAGCTCATTTTACATACATAATATTTCCTCTGGATGCACAGAGTCGACTTAATATATATTTATGGCATTCGGGTAAATGTTTCTGTTTTATATCCAACAGTTTTGTGCGGCTTTTCAAGTGGAATATTGTGACAATTATATTCAAATTAATTGAGTAATTGCATACGCAACTGAAGATGTTTGTCGTTCAAAAGCATTTGATTTATGGCCTGTGGAAAACCCGCTCTCGAGTGGATCTCGTACACAGCCCGCCCCCCTGCCCAACAATAAGCTGAGCGGGCATTGATTTCGGGATCGATGAATCAACTCGTTTGATTTCCTTCCGCTGGCAATATCCTATTGCACTTCAAGCACCTGTAAACAAATTCTGAAAGGAAATTGAAATTCTATATGGAATTTATATTAACTTCCATGCCACGATCTGAGTTTATGGCTAAGAGTATTTTCATATATATTAGAAAAGGCTTTGAACTATACGATTGTTAGCCCATTTTTTCAGTTTTCACCTTCTATCTATTGTATTCCCAAAAACCTGTGTTTCCTAAATAGAGTTGAATGAATTATTCAAATGAACACATGTCTATGTTCATTATTCATTCTTTAAATGAACAAACGAATTTGTTCATTGTTCATTTGTCTGTTCATTTATTCAGTTCTTTAGGAAATCACATGATTCAGTTATTTTTAGTTCAATTATATTAAACTAGCACATATATATATATATGTATATAATATATATACAAAGGGACTTAGCCCGGCATGGCCCGTGGTACGTATACAATAAATTAGCATATAAATATGCAGAATTGATATTATGAATATTGAACCAAAACTTAAGAAAATTGGTTAAGATTTGACCTAGTTTTGGGGGTCGGAAGTTATATATATAATAGGATATTTAAGGGAAGCGATTTTGCATGAATTTTGACCAAGAATAAAGTTGTAAAATTCAGATGCGAAACAGATTTAGAGGCCAAGCCATTTAGTCTATTTTAATCGTAGTCTTACGATTATTATATACATTACGTGTAACATTATGATTTAAACATTTTAAAAAAATTCGCTATGAATTCTACTTTTTTGAATTCTAACGGAGCGCGGTTAGTTCTAGCTCACTGCTTGGCTACAAAGCAAGGCACAAGCAGTGCAACATGCATACTGCAAAGCAGTCACGATTAGTTGTGGATTCGCATAAGCAGTGTAGTGTGGATGCAAGCAGTGCAAACTAGCTAATCGAAATTTGAATATTAAAATTAACGGAAAATAATAAAATATAATATTTGCTCTCTTAACCAATAAATTAAAGCGACCTTAAATTACTTTAATAGACTAACGAAGCAGCCACTAAAAGTTTTTCCGTTTAAGTGCGCCTTAAATAAACTAAATGATATATATAAAAGATAATCAATAAGTCAATCAATGTAGTTTGATTTGTGTGCCTGACACAAACACGACAAGGAACACTTGCCAGAATCAATCATATGCCAAAGCCGAAAGCAATATGGATCAGATATCATAACACTGGCTGGCCGAATACACTAACAAAAAGACTATGAATGCTAATGCAAAGCAAAGCAAACAATTGAAGTGCTCTTTGATAAACCATTAAAGCGAATTTAATACCACAAAAACAACAAGAGCTGAGTCCAACAGGGTGGCGAGTGCTCAGCTCAAACAAGGACGCCAGTTAATTGAAAATGTCTATTCATCATTCGTCGCAACGTAATTCAATACCTGTTTGGCGTCTCAATAAACTATTTAGAGATAATCGCATCAGCGCAGTCACAATCAAAATTGGGACAAAGGGAAACGAACGCGTGGCAAGCA